GACACACCAGAGTGCACCCTTCTGTGAGGTGTGGGCTTTACACCCAGAGACCTTCCCCTTCAGCCACACCACCGCCTTCCATAAGGTTCCATAACATCCCCCCACAAAAGTCACTCTCTCCTCTTCTGAAAATCTTTTGGGAAATAGATTTATTCTTGTGCCAGGTTCAAACAACTATTGGCAGCTGCTTAGAGTGTGATAAAGAGGATTCCCAGGCCCGTCTTGCCAGTAGGGAAGTGTCCCCCCTCGAGTGAGTGGTGACATCTGCCTGGGTGTAGCAGGAGGGAGGGTGCCATCTGCGCTGTGTCTTTGCCTCTTGGGATTTAGCGAGTCTCAGGCACATTCCCTGGGCACTAGCGGGCCGTGCCTGGGGTCTCCTGGTGGAATGAAGGCCCGTAGAAGCCCAGAAATGCCACAGCTGGAGGAAGTGCTCAGCCATGTTCCCCATCACTTGGCCAACAATGACCACAGAAGAGGTGATAACAAGGGTATCACAAGACTCATGTCTGGAAACAGACTCTGTGTGTGCAAGGGAGACCATAGTTTTGGTGCAAATGTGTGAGTTGTTTCACACAAGTGGTCTCACTATAGGGACACAGCTAAGCACATTCTCACCAGGAGCCTCAGCGCTTACCCTTCTCTCTCAGAGGACTGTCCCCAGGCATCCACAAGGGCACTGCCCTCCTGTTGAGGTCTCCTCTCCTGACCGCTGCAGCCCCAAGAGCCCACACTCTCCCGCCCCCGCCCGCTGGCTCCTGGTCACTGCACGGCCCGCTCTGCTCGCTTCCCTGAACAAACCGCCACCAGCCTCTCCCCGTTCTGGGGGCCCGAAGCCTGCAATCCAGGGTGTCCACAGGGACCTCTCCCTCCACAGGTTCCTCTGGAGAGCCGTAATGATTCCTTTTCCAAATACGGAACATTCACAATTCCCGGGAGGTTAGGTTGCAGACATGGGGTTTTGGGGGGCATTACTCAACCCACTGCATTCACTGCCTGACATCGAATTACTCGTGATTTGTTGGGAGCGTGTCACACCTGCCAGAAGACAAGCTACAAAAACACAGGAATCGAGTCTGTTGTGTTCAGGGGTCTGTCTCAGCGCCACCTGGCAAGTGCTTAAAAATACTTGTTGAGTGAACGAAAGGGGCTTTTCCTCCCCAAATTCCAATTTCTTCATCTATGAAATGATTATATTATTGTCTGCTGGGCCATTAACAAACAAACTTGAGGGTTTATGTAAAGAGCCATAACTTCACACTAGTTCCTAAAATTAAACAACACACACACACACACACACACACTATATAATATACTCTTTGTGTAACCTACCCCTTTTGAAAAGGATGCCTTCAAAATGCCAGCCTTCTAATTGTGAGGTTTATTACCAACTGATTTCCAGGTACCTTGGGATTACTTTGAGTCTCCCCAACAGGGTGTATTGTTGGGAGATAATTTATGGGTAATGAAATGACACCACTTTTGTATAGAGAGTGAATGGGAGTTTAAGAGGGTGACCTCATTGTTCAAGGCGCCCAGAGCAGATATTTCAAGAAAGGCGGGATGCTTTGGGCCGAGTCCCGCCCTTGACTCTCAGTGCTGGCCAAAGCCTGCAGATAACTCTCAGAGCTGCAAACCTCAGGAAGTTTCCCAACACGCTGTCTTGGTCTGACTTAGTTGAGAGTGAACTCTGGCATTTGGCAAGCTGAAGGCAAACAGAAAACTCATGCTGGAGAAAAACCTTGAAGTCAGTGGTGATGACAGTGGGGTCCAAACCAAATGGCAGAGCTAAGAAGGAATGTTGAAAATGACAATGAACAGCAGGCATGATTCTGGGGGAAAGCACAGAACACACACAATAACAAAAGACTAAAAGGAAATAAGGGTTTGGCTAATTAGATTAAAGTACTAAGGATGTGAAAACAGCAAAGGTTAGAAACAGGAAAATGAAAGTCACAAAATCACAAAATTCCTTCATATCTGTAAAAGGAAATCAAGAGATGGTATAAACATTTGTGTCTATTTCTGAAATGCTTTCAGATAGTTCTGGACAGGATTTTCAATGGGATATGTATTCCAAAGTCAGTGAAAGATGACATCAAACAGCAGAATGTGTCTCTCAAAAAGTGTGGGAATAAACATGCATGAGGGTGATGCAGTCTAATGGGAGCAACTGCAACGACGTAGACACAACACATTCCCGTTAAAAGGAAAATAATTGCTAATGTATTAAAACAAATTTTGCTGATGTGTTTATGAGAGACACATTGAATGAATACTCTGGGGCATCTACCATGTTTCAGGACCATTACGTACCATGACAGGCACTGAGCTGACCCACAGTGATGAAGAAAGAGGAGTTCCCTGCTCTGCGGAGCTTACAGCCTGGTGGAAAATGGAACAAGACGGCTAAAAAATAAGATAGCAAGTAGAGATCATGCAGCCTTAAGCCATGGAGAAGAAACACTGGCAATATTAACTCTACAGTGTGGAATTTAAGATGCTTTCATGAGATCCAGATGGCATTAAAGAGTTACAGGGGTTATAACGAACAGGTAAATCATACGCATTGCCCGAGAGCGAAGCATAATGCAAAGAGCAAAATTCAGACATGCAAGGAAAAAGCGGACAGGAAAGCAATTAGACTGGGATATTTTAAACTCTTCATTTCCTTCCTGTGTCAGATCAAGTAGTCAAAAATAAGAGCATGAACACTGTAACTAGAATGAACTGATATGGAACTGATTTGCAAAGAAGTGCAGCTCACCAATACCCTTACAAAGAACAATACGCAAACATTCCTAGTGCCACTGAAATAGTTACAGAAATTGCACAGACTCAATAAATTAAGAAAATTTAGATATGTGTGCAGGCAACATTTTCTGATCGCAATGCAACAAAAATAAAAATTGAACAAATTCAAAGCTAAGGGCACCCATTTAGCTACATCCAGTCACTGAGCTGATTTCCTTAACTGCTTTCTCTGTGGTCCACTCCTTTTTTTTTTTTTCATCCCAACGTGTCCCAGTATGCCACAGTACCCAGTACCCAGGGCTTCCCTGTTGAATGGCCCAGGCATTCTTAAGCCCAATCCACAAACTGCAGCCTTGATACCTCTGAGCTGGAGCACAGGCCACAGTGATGGGCTCCTAAAGGTTGGGCTTCCAAGGAAATGACATTTGACCGGCTCATCACTCCCTGCTCCCAGAGGCTGCACCACCTGGAGAGACGTTGCCTGATTAACACTCTTGGCAAAGCATAAAGTTCTTTGCCAACAACACATTGCTCCTCCCTGGACCTAATACTATCTTAAAGTCACAGAATGCCAGTTGGACAAGACCTGAGAAGTAACTGAGCTGAGGTCCCATTTATCTTTTATTTTAACAATAGAATTTTCTGAGGATCTGTTGTGTCAGGTGCTACTAGGTACTCTACCACTGCAGACATTAGCTCCGATCTGTACGACAGGACTGAGGTCGGTGCTGCAGAGCCCCCTTTTGCTTCTCCAGACCCATTCTCCACCTCCTCTCTCTTTACTCCTTTGGATTCTCAGCCCAGAAGTCTGCACCCACAGCTCCCATTCTTTCCCTCCACTGAAGTTCTCAGTTCCACACGGCCACCTTCTCCACGTAACTGTTCTCTCCTCTTGTCTCCCAGACGGTGGATGGTAATAATTTCTTGCTGTTGCTCATTGTGGGTAATCGCAGTTCCTCTGGTTTCTCGACATGCTGCCCATACCTTTGTAAACAGGCTGTTTATCAAACTCTCTCCAAATTACTCAGTTTGAGGGTTCCCTCTGTTTCCTGCTGGGACCCTGACTCGTAGGTGGGTAGTGTCATCCCATTTTGCAGATGAGTATAATGAGGCGGAGAGAAGTGAAGAAAGTTGCCCAAGGTCAGTCATTTGGAAGGAACAGTCCTGGGGTTCAAATCTGGACTAATAACTCACACCAGTTCTGCTTTTCCCATTATTCCTGGCCTCTGTGGGAAACTGGAGGAGGCAGGCGGTATGATGCTGACAACCTGTTCCGTTTCCGTAAAGGGGAAAGAGGCAGAGAAGCAGGGAGGGCCACTAGAACTGTCCATCTGGTTGAAGGGGTGGCAGATACTTTTGAATGACTGAATATAAATCTGAATGACCAGATGTAGCAGGTGGCAAATATTTGCTCAAAAAGGGCAGCACAATAGACAAACACCCATGCCATCCATGTCCTATCATCCTTAAGTAACACCAGTCTAGAGAGGAGGAGACTGAGGCACAGGAGTGGCACAGGTGTGTCCGTGTGCCATCTGTGCCCAGCAATGTCCCTATAATGATGGTACCATCAGCACCCTCTCCCTTTCAGTGTGAAGAAGGTGTTGTCATGGTGGTCATTTTACAAATCAATAACCTAAGGCTCCAAAAATGTAAGAAAGCTGCGGAGGTCCCACAATTAGCAAGTGCAGGACCACATTTTGCAGGTAAGAATAAGGAGCCCAGACATTGTGACAGACTCCACAGAGCCCAAAGGCAGTGGGTGGGGTCGCACACTCTCCTCTGGCTCCTGGGATTCATTCCAGGGGTGCTCCCTGGAGGTGAGGGCTTAGCCTTCTCCTTCAGGAACAGAGAAGGGAGCCCGGCTCAGAGAGGCCACGCGGCTGGTGCTGAGCGGCCCAGCACGGATGCTCCCGGCGCCTTAGGGCCGACCCCCCTCGGCTCCGCAGGAGAATCCCCCGGGCGCTTGCTAACGTCCATCTCCCCGGCCAGCTCCGGACCCAGCGCCCCCGGGTGAGGAGGGGTCTGGGAACCGCGCCTTACGAGCGTCTGCCGGCCGCCCCCACCCGTGCCCCCGCTGCGGGCGGGTCTGCGGACCTGGAGGCAGCCCAGCTCCGGGCGTCGCCGCGGCCCCCGCGGGCCGGCCGGGGAGAAGCCAGGTGCGCCCAGGCCGCGCCGCGCAGCCCCACCCCGGGGCGGGGCCTCACCTGCGGCGCGCAGGTAGGCAGCTCCCCGGTAACCGGGGCCGGGCCCAGGAGGCGCGGGCGCGCAGCCAGCCCCGGCCGCGCCGGGGACCGAGGGGCGCAGGCGGGGCGGCCGCCGGCGGGACGAGGGCGCCGCGCGCTCGCCATGGCGGGGAGGCGCTTCTCGCAGCTCCTGCGGACGCTCGTGTCCGCGCGCGCGGGCCACCGGTACGAGCCGCTGCGGCGGGCCGAGGGGGACAGCTCGGTGAGTGTGGGCGCCCGCGCGCCGCTCGCCCGTCCCGGAGCCCCCGGGCGGCAGCCCATTTTGCGGATGCGAATCCGAGGCCGAGGGAGGTGCAATCTGCCCCTTGCGGGCACACGGCTAGCAGATGACCCCGGTAGGGACGTGGCCTGGGTCCCTCTGACTGCAGAGACTCGAAATTCATGCGTCTCCACACCCAAGCTGCCCTATGGGTTTTTTAAAGTTACTTGAACTAGGGGGTGGGGGGGAAGCGATGTCAAAAACCAAAGCAACCCGAGACACACTGTTGTGCGGATGTTTTAGCAGTAATAACAGAAGTGATGGTGTAAATCAAGGTGAGAGTAGCCGGGCCTCCCAGCTTTGCTCCGCCCGCCTCCAGCGCGTTTTTGGGAAAATAATTCAGATTTGCATGTTGACTTTGCAACCTCCAGGGGACCCCCCTCGGGTTAAACCAACAGAATTCTCCAACGGGGGAGTTTTTACCAGGGGAGGAACTGACAAAGCTGTCTAAAAAAAACCCTTCCACCTGGAGAAGCCAGGTGTGATGGGAACCTAACAACTTTCTCCTGAACTTTGTAAGCAGAGCTCCTGTGATGCCGAGCAGCAAGCCCTAAATTTTTGCAAGAGCATCTCCAGGTCACTGCACTCTTTTCCTTTAAACGCATTGAATCGGTCATTTAAAAATAAAATCCCCAAAAAGGGCCCCTGGAGGTCCTCAGGAGAATACAGCCTTGCCGGGGCCCTTTGGTGAAGGGAAGTCTCACGGTTAGATTAACTTCTACTGAACAAGATCCGCTGGAAAAACTTGATTTAAAGTATTTCACTTTCCTCCCAAAGAATGGCAACCATCAAAACATTTTGGTTGTGTGATTCTTAACTAACTGTGCATTTAAAAAAATAACATTTTGTAAACGAATGTTAACGTGAGGATTCTGGCACGAGGGTACAGACCCCAGGGCTGTGTGACTTCCAGTTCTCAGATAATCTCTATTTTTCTGGAGTGATGTGTTTAAACCCAGACTGGAGGTAGAGTTCAATAATCTGGCCGAGATAAGTTTCTCTCTGTGTGCGCTGTGCAATGCGTTCTGTTAAAGCGGTTTGAGATGAGTTTGTCAGCATGGTTGCCTTTTCTATGTTACTTTTTCCACTTTTTTCTCTCCATCTTTTGATTTCTTGCTTCAAACTGGGTATTTTCCCAACACCCCGGATGTGTAGTTGGTTACAGTCAATCAGACTTTATAGGATGTCCAGGAGTGCTGGGTGTGAGGTTGGTGGAGCATGAATAGATGCTGGGGTGAATTTGATTGCTGCCCCAAAGCGCACCCTATTCCCGCAAAACTTTTCAGAGGGGCCCTCATGGGCGGACGGGTCTTCAACCTGTCTGCAGGTATGCAGGGGCTCACCCTCCTGGCCGTGGATGGGGGTTCTCAGCAGCACCCTGAGGGTGTCTCTGACAACTTGGCAGTATGGAGCAATGCTGACCCAGGCAGCCAGCAGCAAAGGGGGCTGAGAAACAAAGCGTCCTGTCTCTGAAGGCAGCTTTGTGCCAACCCAGGAAATGACCATGCAGGTGAATGGGGAGGGTGCTGGGTGCGGCCACCTGTGTGCTGCCAGCTCAGCTCACAGCCCCAACGCTAGCTTTGCTCCACACTTACATCCTCTGGTGAATGTCTTTCCTCAAGAAAAATTGGAGAAGCAGCAGCAGCAAGGTGTTCTTACAGTGATCATTTCTGCAACAGCCGTGACTTTCCTCTCTGAGCCCTTGTTGTATGTGACAACGTGCTGGGGGGCCTCTGAACCTCCTAGGCACCTCGCCGAATCACCCCGCTTCTAACACAGATTAGCAGTGAGAACTGTCTGTGTCTTCTTTCTGGGCTCTCGCACCAAGGCGAGTTTTATTATTGTCATCACTCACTAGGCGAGGACATGGGGGCTCACAGAAGGGGCCGAGCCTAAGGATACGGCAGCGTACGACACAGAGTCCATGGGGAAGGCCCACAGTCAGCAGAGAAACCCAGAGATGTTTATGATCTATTGGTCTTGGGTGTGATGAAGAATAAAAAGCAGAGTGACCTGGCAGGGGGCAGGTGGTGGAGATGGGGACCAGGGAGGGCCAGAGTTAGAAATGTGGGTGCCTCTCATGCTCTGAAGGCACCTCATTCTTGCTATTTTTCCAGAGTAACAGAAAGAAAGGTGTTTGAGAGATCCCCTTAATTTAATTACTGGAGAAAAAGCTGCTCTCTGCTGCCCTGAACATTGGGTAAGGAGAATATTGGGTAAGAAGGTTGGACTAGAAATTCCTGCTTCCAGTATGACTGGATGTCAACTCTGAGCAAGTTACCTTCTGCCCTCGGGGCTCCCATCTCCTGACCAAGACTGCCACGGCTCACACTGCCCTGCCTTCCTGCTTGGCCAACTGATTCATCTTCCTGGGCCCCTCCAGGGTGAAGACTGGCTTCCAACAGACTCATGTCATGGTCACCCACTCATTTGCCCCAGATTCCTGGAGCACCTACTGTGTGTCAGGCCGGGGCTGCACACCAGGGATGGGGTGAAGGAAAAGATGCAGCCACTCACTGCTCTCCTGGGACCCCGTCCTGGTGGGTGGGGATAGGTACCTCGCTACAGACCACAGATGACAGAGCCATGACAGATGTGTCACGGCTGGGGGAGGGTGGGATATTTAAGATAGAAAGGAGTGGTAAAGGTTCAGAGGCATGCCCTGAGTGAGGGGCAGAGATAACAGAGCATTCTAGGCAGAAGGGGGTGAGCTGTGGGGGGTGAGGGGAGAAGGATGTGGCTGTAGAGAAGCCACACAGAGCCTTTAGGCTTGATCGCTAAAGCAACAAGGAGCCACGGAAGGGTTTTAAGTCAGGGTTTTAGTCATTCATTTATTCACACATGTGCCAAATGTTAAGAATGCAGTAAACAAGACAGACACCATCAAATTTGTGTTGCTAAGAGATCACCCTTGAGCTGCAGTAAGAGAATGTATGGGAGTTCTGAGGCTTATACATGCACGTGCACGCGCACGCATACAAACTGTTGGTGTTTCTCAAAATTTAACAATAGGTGACATTGTCTTCATGCAACCCCCGCCCCATGATGTCTGAATTATTTGTATCAAAGGTGACTTACATAGTATAAGCATGAAACTTGCAATAAACATAGCTGTGTGCTTGCAACTCAATAAAGTCAAACTAAGTTTATATAAAATCATACAGTACAAATGCAGCAACTGTATTTTGACACAACTGCTGTTGTTTTATTAAAACTTAGGCAGTGATGTTGAATGGTTGTATTAGTTGTCTATGGCTGTATGACAAATGACTCCAAAATGTGGGGGCTTCAGACAACAAATATGAATCATCCCACAGTTTCTGTGGGTCAGGAATCTGGATGCGGCTCAGCTGGGGCCTTCTGGCTCAGGGCCTCTCATGAGCCTGCTGTCTAGTGGTTGGCTAGGCTGTGGTTTCATCTGAAGTCTAGTTGGGTGGGGGGAGGAAGGATCTGCTTCTAAGCCCCCTCTCATGGCTGTTTGCAGACCTCGGACCTTCACTATGTGGGTCTCTCACCAGAATGGCCTCATGCCTCACTGCTGGCTTCCCCAAGAGGGAATGACCTGAAGAGACTGAGCAAGCATCCATAGAAGCCTGGAAACCACAGGCATTTTATAACCCAATATTGGAAGTGATATCCCCTCACTGCTGCCACATTCTACTCATTAGAAGCAAGTAGGTCTAGCCTGTGCTCAAGGAGCCCAGGAGGGATTGCACAGGGTTGTGAATATGAGAGGCAGGATGACTGTGGGGAGAGGAGAAAAAGAAATAGTTCCTTAAATGAGATAATTCACACAAAAAACAGCCAATTCTGGCATATGGCCTACTCGATAGCTACCTGTATTTGTTAGTGTTGTCATTAGTCTTGAGTTAGTCTTTATTTTGACTCCTTTTGAATTTTGATTTTCATAACACGCTGAGAATGTCTAATTATGTGTTTGTGTACAAAATGGCATATGCATATGTCAAGAATTTGTTTGCTAGCTTAGAATAATCAGCCTCACACCTAATCACAGTGGACAGCACGCAGCCTGTGAATGCCAATTTTGAGGGCTGGCATTTGATAACTGCAGAGTTGGCTGCTTCACTTGACAATAATATGTGCGCTGGGCATTGTGGAAGGAATATTTCTTCACTTTGTATGGATTCCCATACTTGGTGCTCACGAGCTGTGCCAACTACTCATGAACAAAGATTGTGAGACCCCAGCTTGCAACGTGACGCTTCTCAATGGTTAGAGGTGTCACGGTTGGCTTGCGAACATCACGATCGTGTGCCCTGCGGTGACTCAATTCCCTGCCCGCTTTTCACTCTAGCCACTGAGAAACGTCGCCCCTGCATTGCATCACGTGATTGTCATCACAGATGCTATTGTGGACAGTGCTGTCACACCACAGCTCTCTGTTGTAAACTGGCCACCCAGAAGGTCTATACGAATTAGGCGAATCCCTGAAGTTCATATTCAAAGCTAGGAAGTTCTTGCAAAGCCTGTGGGCTTTTGAGAATGTGTCTGAAGATGCCATCCTAGAAACCTTGCCCCACATCCCAATGTCATGAGCCTTATTATTTAGGGTGACAGATCCTACATTCCCAGAGCCCCTAAGAGAAGAAAGTTAGAAGACTTGTAGATGGCCGTCTTCTCCCCATGTCCTCACATGGTCGTCCCTCGGTGCTTGTCTGTGTCCAGATGCCCTCATATCAGGACACTGGTCACACTGGATTGGGGTGCATCCTAAGACTTTGTTTTAGCTTCAGCTCCTCTTTGAAAGTCCTGTCTCCAAATACATCACATTCGAGGTATTAGGGGCCAGGACATCAACATACAGATTTCGAGGGAACACAGTACAGTCCATACGCTATGTTCCTCATAGAAAATATTTTGAAGGGTATTTGGCGGGGAGGGAGCCTTGTAGACCACAGTGGAAAAGTATGTCATCTCCTGGC